TAGTGGTTCGCAGCCCAATTTGTCGACGGGAGAGTCAACCACAGACGTTTCTACAGCGCCACAAGTTACATTACGTAGTAAGCGGAAATACTCTGGTGATCAAGATATTAAAGAAGAATTACGCGAAATACGAAAGGGAATGGCAGAAATGATGCAAGTTCTTACCTCAATTAACGCGAATCAAACGGAAGCCATAAACAGGATATCGGAAGATGTAAGTTCATTGAAAGAACATGTAAAAGATCTTAAGACCGAGATAGATAATCTCCGATTCGAAAATAAGAAAATAAAGCGTAATATAAATAACTTTATAAGTAAATATAATGAAAAAGATAAACAAATAGAAACGTTAGACTCTGAAATAAAAAAACCTTCAAAGTACAAAACTAATAGATCCACTTACCACAACAACCGTTAGTAGCACAATAGAAGAAACTGTGATGGCAGAACTTTCTGATCGATTGGTTAGAAGCAAGAATATCATAATAACTGGATTAATGGAAACAAATATATCTGACTATAAAGATAGAAAAGAGGCTGAGAAGAGAGAAGTACTTGGTTTATTAAACAAGATCTCAAACGATTGTACAGAACCAAAAAGTATAACACGCCTGGAGAAGTATGCGCCAGACAAGCAACACCTACTCAAAGTGTGTTTCTCAACACCAGAAGAAGCTATTTTTGTATTACGTTCTAAAAGTAATGAAAAACTGAATCCCATTAAAATTTTCCCAGATCAAACGCCTCAACAACAATCTTTCTACAAAAAACTTAAAGAAGAGTTGAAACATCGTAAGGACAATGGAGAGATGAACCTAACTATCAAATACAACAAAGGTATACCTAAAATAGTTAAAATTAAGCCAAAAAACTAACAAAATTCTATGATAATCAAATTCTAATCTCTAAAAATATTTCTTACCAACTAGCTTCTCAGTATGAGAATATCATAACGACAAAAGACTCCTTAAAATGTCTGTATGTCAATGCACGCAGTATAGTTAAAGCAGGCAAATTTGACGAACTAATATGTATTTTAAAATGTTTTAAATTTACGATTCACTTAATTTTGATAACGGAAACCTGGATAAAGTGTGAAGAGGAAGCTAAACAATTTCAGATATGTGGTTATACCCATTACTATAACTTTAGACCTAGTAGCAGAGGTGGTGGAGTATCAATCTTCGCACACAATATCATGAAACATAATCTTATAGAAGAACAATATCTTGATAACAATTATTATCTATGGATACATGTTGACAAGTATTCACTGGATGTGGGTGTCATCTATAGAAAACCCGACAACAGCAATATTAATAAATTCATAGAAACATATTCAACAAAATTGGAATCGCGCAGAAGGGCAGTGGTATTTGGTGACTACAATGTAGACCTATCATCTCAAGAACGTACAACTTCGATGTATATGGAAATGTTGGAACAGTGTGGCTACAAATTATTAAATAAAATTGACCCCGAATACTCTACACGTGTAACTTCTTCTTCGAATACTATTATAGACCACGTCAGCACGAGTCTCAAAGAACAACAATTTCACCTGCTATAATAGAATCAGCTATGTCTGATCACAAACAGATCTATTTTGAAATCTAGAAGTATAAGCAAGATGCGGTATCAAAATATGAATATAAATCAATAAACTACACCAAATTGTATAATACAATAACTGGAAACAGTAATAATTGTGAATATGTAAAACTGGAAGAAAAAATCTTATCTAGTATAAATAAAAGCAAAGACACTAAGATCAAATTCCTCAACCTACCAAGAAGAGATTGGATTAATAAAGATATCTTAAACGAAATAAACGCAAGAAACAAATTATGGCACAAATATAAAACTAATCCAGACAATGAAAGTACAAGAGATAACTTCGTGAAGAAAAGAAATGAAGTAAGCAATATAATACAAAAAACTAAAAGTCAATACTACTATAAGGCGTTTAAAGACTGTAAACACAAACCAGCAAAAATGTGGAAACTGATCAACGATCTATCAAATAACAAGATCAAAGAAACTACTGCTCCAAATAAACTGATCACGCATGTGGGATCTGTCGTTAGTGAGGATAAAGCTATCTGTGAATGTTTTAATTATTTTTTCTCAAATATTGGTTCAATCCTGGCAAATCAAATACCTAAAGTTAATCAAACTGTATTAGACGCAATAATTATCGAAACTGGAAGTAATGTTATATCCTATTGGCCACCCGTATCTCTACACAAAATCGACAAAATTATAGATGGTTTAAATCCTAACACTAGCACTGGATTAGACGGGGTAAGTACGAAATCTATAAAATGTATCAAGAACATAATTGCTGATGAGCTTGTAAACTGCATCAATAACTGCTTTGAACAAGGCGTATTTCCAGACAATTTAAAAGTAGCAAAAGTAACTCCGATATATAAAACAGGAACTAGATCAGATCCCCGAAATTATAGACCAATCTCAATATTACCAGTACTATCCAAAATTTTCGAGCGTGTGTTATATAATCGTCTTGCAAACCATTTAAATTCTAAAAAATATTATGCGATAAACAATATGGCTTTAGACCGAAATCGAACACTCTTTCAGCTACAATAGATTTAGTCACAAAAATCAAAGTTGGCATAGACAAAAAACAAATAGCACTCGGTATTTTTATAGACCTTAAAAAGCATTTGATACAGTTAGTCATGAACTGTTACTGTGTAAATTGAAATATATGGGTATTTCCGGATCCGCATTGAAAATTTTTGCTTCATATTTATCCAATAGATATCAAGTAGTAAAGATTGGCTCTAATCAAAGTGAACCAAAATTAATAACTTTTGGAGTACCGCAAGGTTCCATATTAGGACCGCTGTTTTTTCTGAGTTACATCAATAGTATTAAGGATATAGGATTAAAAGGTAATATTACATTATATGCAGACGACACAAGTCTGTTTTACTATGGATATTCAATTAACGAATTGATTACCGATGCCCAATCAGATCTCAACACATTGAATATGTGGTTTGAATCTAACCGTCCAGCTATAAATATTACTAAAACACACTACGTAATTTTTACATCAAAAAATAAAAAAATTGGTAACTATAAGCCTCTCACAATAAATAGTGAACCAATTTCTAAAGTAGATAATGAAAAATACCTTGGTCTCCGGTTGGATAATCATATGACATTTAAGTGTCATATAAATAATATTAAATCTAAATTGGTTTCTCTCACTGGCGCACTGCGAAATATAGTAAAATGTTTCCCACGTAGTGTGCGATACACTATTTATAATTCATTAGTCAAACCACATATTGAATACCTTATAGAAGTCTGGGGCACAGCAGCAAAAACCAATATAGAAGCAATACAGGTAGCACAAAATAAACTGATTAAGGTACTATATAATTACGACTTTATTACTCCAACTGCCCAAGTTTATAAAGACACTAAAATCATGAATATATCACTAACATATAAATATTATACTTGCATTTTAGTACGTAAAATACTAAATAAAAGCATTCACACAGAATTATGTTTTACAAAAAATAAACCTATAACAAAACTAAGACCAAGACTTTACAGAGAATTAAAACTACGCACAGCACGTACTAACTACGGCAAAAAATGTATTTTAAATGAAGGTGCCCTAATCTACAACAAACTACCAAAAGAGATAAGGGATGCCAAATCTATGACAACCTTTAAAAGATTACTAAAACATTATTTTCTAAACACATAATCAAGGTGGTTTACTTCTTCGTTAAATTGTGCTTAATTTGATTGGGTGGTTATAATATTGGTAGGTAAATTAAAATGCTAAAATGTTATTAAATTAGCATAATATCAGCTTCGATCTAGTAAAATTATGATTAATAAGCCTTACTTTTATAGTAATATAAATATGTGTCTATATGTATGTATATATGTGTGTATATATGTATATAAAAATATAATTAAATATACTTATATGTATGTATGTACTAATAACTAATAAAAAAAGCAAATAAAACAAAACATTAAAAAGGGAATTCTTAACAAGTATACATATAAACACAGAAAAATCCAACCAAGTAATAATTGCGCTCAATCAAAATACATAATATCACTTCCAGTCTCTATTGTTCAACGTAAATTCTATTAAATGAAGCTAAAAGTCGGTATATGAATAATTTTGCACTCGGCGATCGAACCAAATAAAGTAACCGTCATGAATGTTTATCTTAATCTTTGGTAGCCTCCTTTTATTATTTTACTATGTACTCATAACTTTTAACATTATTTGTTTAGACTATAAAAAATGGTGTATTTTTATTTTGTTATCAGTTTGTTTGTGTGTCGTGCCGTTTAATATAAAATTATGTTAGTGTTGTACATTTCTCATGTAAGTGAATTTTAATTCTTTTGAGAAAATAAATATCATAAATATCTTAAACCATAAAAAAAAGTTACAGCCTATATACGTCCCACTGCTGGGCTCAGGCCTCCCCTCATTTCTGAGAGGGTTTAGTGCAAGGAAGTGTCCGCCGCGCTGCCCAAATGCGTGTTGACGAACTTCACATGTTTTCGAAATATTTTTCACGATGTTTTCCTTCACCGCAGAGCACGTGGTAAATCAGCACTTAAAATTGCAATTAACAATTCATTGGTGCCGGCGGGGATCGAACCCGGGTTACTCGCGTTCTGTTATATTTACAGCGAGCGTTAACCACTGAGCTACCACGGCTCTAATATATGTTATTTTGAAATAATGTTACTAATTAGGCATGAGGGCAAGAGGTTTTTCTACTTCGTACAGAGAAACCTTATTTTGAAACGGTAGTAGAATTTTATTAAAAAATTCTTACATCAAAAAATAAAGACTTTGATTAGAAAAATAGGTATAGATAAGAAAAATAGATAGCAGAAGATAGATATATTATATTTATGGGTCATACCACCTAATTATCATTAGGTAGAATGTGTGCTCATTTGTTATCCTTACTGATTCAATCTGTGGATTCAAAAAACATATCAACGTATGCTAGTCCTTGGCGGCTGAAATAGTCCCGGCCTATATACAAAAGACAATAGTCACAAGAAAACACAAACATAGTGTTCTGTTAAAATTTTTCTTTTTTTAGTAAAAACGAATAAACGGTTAAGAATCCTAATCACAAATAATGTTGTGATTAATTGATTAATTATTAATCTAAGACAAAATATAGTTTCAATACCTGCACTGTAGCAGTAGATGACGAGAATCAAAGATATTAGAGGCAGGTAATTCATGAACCCCGACACTTCTTGTGTGTTCTCTTTTATCTTAAAAAACACGCCAAGTCCAACCTGAAAATAAAAACTCCTATAATAAATAGAAAATAAAACACAAGAAACCCTTCATTGTAATATATTGCAGATCATCAAAAATCATGAGTTGCCGTTTTGGCCCAAAAAATGCTCAAGGGAGGCAAAATTTTGTAGTCTGTTTTAAATTTTTGCTAACTCATAGTCAAAATGTTTAGAATTTTCCTAACCGTTACATCAGATTTGCATTATTACCATTACATCAGATCTCATACAAGAACATCGGTTCCTACCAAGTATAATTCGAAAGGTCATTGAAATTAAAAGTTATACTAATTTTAATAGAGAAGGTGGTTTTAAATCCAAATCCTAACATATCACTCAAAGACTTCAAAATACTAGTCATCGTATAGCTCGTCCTGCGTAGATCGGCCAATAGAATAGGTAGATTTATGTTGATGTGTTTCACGTTCCCATACTTAATAAAACAGAGTTACTTTGACATCAGGACATGTAACTCCAAGTCATAGGTAAAGTAGTAGGTGAAAACGTCGAACATCTACATCTATCTTCAATTAAGAATTAAAATGCAGATGCGTTGTCACCTCTAAGGACGAAGACTTAATGTGTAGTTTCCAGTATAAAGGGTCTCCAGTTCCTTACACTCGCCATACGAAACAGAACAGTATTAAGATGCTTTTTTAAGCTAGTATTCTGTCAGAGCGTGGTCCTTTCTCAATTGAGTCGACCCATTCGTGCCAGAACTATAACATAGCTGCAACATAGCTCTACCACTTATACAAGTATATGTAAAGTGTAAAGTTACAGCCTATGTACGCCCCACTGCTGGGCACAGGCCTTCCCTCATTTCTGAGAGGGTTTTAGAGCACGGAAGTGTCCGCCGCTCTGCCCCAATGCATGTTGATGAACTTCACATGTCTTCGAAATATTTTTTTCTTATTCCTCAGACATGCAGGTTTCCTCACGATGTTTTCCTTCACCGCCGAGCACGTGGTAAACCAGCACTTAAAATTGCAATTAACACTTTCATTGGTGCCGGCGGGAATCGAACCCGGGTTACTTGCGTTCTGTTATATATACAGCGAGCGTTAACCATCTGCTGGGCTACCTTGTAAAGTGTAAGTAGTTTTATTCCGTGTGTAGTGTTCACTTAAGAAATCCTCTTGATGTGCAGTCAAATTACAGTGACAATGGTGTAGTATAGATAAGTGTTGTAGTAATGTGAATAGTTTCATCGTTTTAAAAGAGAACTTACCATTCCAATCATCATGCCTGTAAGTGATGAAATCAATATGTATTTTCTATTAAACCTCTTAGTCGCAAGAGTCGCGCAGCAACTCGCAAAAAGCTGTATCAACCCCATTATCACCGACGCTATCTCTGGCATCACATTCGTTTTGGTCGATATCAAAATTGTTTGCAAATAAAACGATACAGCGTTGAAACCAACAAGCTGCGACCCCGCGCAGAAAACTATTGATATTCCAAGAGATTTTAGTACAAGGCGATTCTTAAATAGTTTCATTTTATCGACTTTTTCATTGTTCATCGATGTCGCGTACACTGCAATCTCTTCCTTGGCAGCTTGATCTGTGCCTCGAATTAATGTAAGCACTTCCATTGCTTTGTTGGTTTTTCCTTTTAAATATAAAATAAAATCTAACATAAATATTATTAATATTAATAATAATGTCTTCCAGACTGAATTTCGGCCACGGCGGCCTGCCTCAACGGAGGCTAGCCATCGGCGCAGGACAGGATTATAGTGCCCAAGTGTAAGCGCCAGCACAGGTGCATTCTCTATTCCCTCACTCTCATAATCCGATGGGATGATAAACCGACAAGACCGGAGAGAGATCAAGCGCATGACCAACGGCTTTACGTACTTTATGAGGCACGGAGGTGAGACACCGCCAACTTCCTGACTCCGGGCAGCTACCGAGAATTTCTTGACGGAAAAACTCAATAATTGATTTTGTTGGGCCGACCCGGGATTCGAACCCAGGACCTCATGATCAGAAAATATATAGCCTCATCGTAGTGGTATTTGCCATAATTGTCAGTAGTAGTTTCATAAGAGGTGACAAAAGAAGTTGGCAAAGTATTACTAATAACAACTCTAAATATTAAAATTAAGCGGCTAACAACGCGCCTGTTAAGCGTAGCAACTATGGCAAATAACCCTGTTATGAAGCAGTTTATGTTCAGAATCGGTTCTCTCATAGTCTGTTATGATGATGATGATGATGATGATAAGTGATATCGCATTTTATGCTGAATCTGAAAGACAGCGTGGAAAACTTTGTGGTAAGAGAAAAGTGTGGCGTGCAAGATGATTCTGTGACCAGAATTAAGAAAGGAATAGACAAAGAGTAACAAAGCAAATCTATGTTTTGGAAGTGAACAATAGAGTCGGGATGGGGCACCCTAGAGGAAGGGTCAGATTAAGAGTACCCTCAATTAACGAGCATGTATGCGTGGTGTCAAATAAAAGTCTGTAGTCTGCCTGAATGCATCTGTCCTTGCGCTCACACCCGTGCATTATAAGCCTGTCATGCGCAGATGGCTAGTTTCCGTTGAGATTGGTCACTATGACCGACATTCGGTTAGGTCCTACTCCTCGTCGCCGCGCCGGTGTAATTGTTATGTAATTTATATCCGATATAAATACGATAATATTCTTCAACATTTAAATAATATTATGTTTAGTACTAGTAACTTTTCTCCGATTTACCATAATGTAATTTTATTTTTGGCACCTTTCAAATTATTTTCACACGTGTGCCGTCTCGTACCGGTAAGCGAAGTGTAGGGCGACCCCCCACTAGAAGAAGTAACATAAAAAAAGTAAAGTATACACGACCCCCCTTTTTTTCTTATTCCTCAGACATGCAGTTTCCATCCCAATAACCAAATCCTATCTGGTAACAGATAAAGGAAGTCCATAAATGCAGGTGGTGGTATGTGGCATTCCTTAGGGTGGCCACATACCACCACCTGTGGTTGTATGTGGATGTTTAGGAGTGGACTTGTGAAGGGCTTTAATGATGAATGATGATGTGTATGTTAGTGCGTCTTCTTACAATAACTTGAGTATGGTGTTGGCTTAGTCTTTGCGTCACATGAGATGTACCCAGAGCACCGTCTTTCTTTTTTATTGGTATGAGTAAGAAACAATTTAAAGTGGGTGTTTAAAATAGCTCTTACCTTTCGAGTACAAAAAGTACGGGCTATCAGGCAAGAAGGGCAGCGGCATACTCGTAATTAAGATTATTGCAGCAAACACTATACTAAAAGTGCTATATGAAGTGTACGGTCCAACCGTCAGCGATACGACTATGCCCAGTGATGAAAAGAGTTGCTGGAAGGTACCAAGAATGCCTCGTATGTCCTTCTGTAAAATGATACATGTTTAATTGAATGTGATGTTCCCGTGCTCACTTTATTACAACTAGTTGTCGCCTAATGAGCGAATTCGAGAAATTCGAGAACAATGTGAATAAACTTTAAAATTGGAATCACTGATCGAATATATTATATCACTTTAAAGTACGTGAAAATTGGTTATGATTACATTATATGTATAAATTCTTAAATGACATGTTACTATTAAATTAATTGATCACTCACAGTTGCAATTTCCGAAGCATAAACAGGGACCACTGAAACTAGAAAACAATCCCCTACACCAATTAAAGCACGGCCCAGTATCAGCATCCACACGTCTGTCGCGAAGATGAAGAAGATGCTTACGATGATCTTCGGCACGCAGATCAGTATCAGGCAGTATTTTCTGCCTATACAATCCAGTAACATGCCTAGCGGTAAGTTCACTGTAAAATAAAATTTCATTACTGTCTTCTATTTTACCGCTTACAAACTTTATTCACGCAAAGCTTGATTGGTCGAAAATTCCTTAAAGCGTTAGAAAACGGTTCTCTTTTCCCCTCCACATAGTTTAAAACAAAGTAGCTGCCCGCCGTCTGTACGCCTTGATTTTTAAACTACGCAACGGATTTTGATGCGGTTTTCTTCAATAGACAGGTTTATATATATATATATATATATATATATATATATATATATATATATATATATATATATATATATATTATTGGAGTAGAAGATATGAAGACAAATCTGCCCCTATAAAAGGCAGCGCCACCCAGCAGCAACATGCCCATTTGGCCCGCGAGCCGTCGACGCGTACACATCGTGTTGATAGTGATTGATGGCGTGACCGACATTTTTCATTTTATTTTTAAATTTGCATTTAATTATTAGAAAATAGTCTATGCCCAGTTTTTGTTTTGAAATTATTTGGTTAAAAGTTTGTTTGTGATAATTGTTTTTTTTTTAAATTAAATCGTTATTTCTTTTACAAAATCAGAAGTGGGATTCGTAGCCACTATCCATTTTCGGTTGTTTTCCGTTTTAGTTTCGTATTAATTGCTCAAAATGTCGGATCACGAACGACGCGGAAGCCGTTCTCATAGTCGAGAACCAAGTAGGCGACGTGGTAGGTATCGGGACCGTACCCCGGACCGAGATCATAGGCGGGAAGTACAAATGATGCGAGCTCGTTTAAAATCGTTTGAAAATCAGACGACCATATCATCGGCACGTTCTAGACCGTCACCGGAGAGGCGAGATTCGCGTGGCTCTCCGCGACGCGGGCGCTGCTCGCCGCCGCCATTACCGACAGCGCGGCGCCAGGCGGACACGCCAGAGCGGCGCCATACGGACGCGTCGGAGCGGCGACGCGAGAGTTCTCGCTCTACCCGCGTAACGTCACAGTTACTGGAGCGATCCGCGCAGACGCTGCAATCGCATACGCCGCCTTTGCCAACGATGACCTCCGAATCGGCCGCCAAATTTCGTGAAGGCCCCACGGTGGAAACCTCGATGCAACAACCTGTGGCTGCCAGTGAGGTGTCGGTAACAGATCGCATTGTGGATGCTATTTGTTCCATCAGTAATCGGGTGAGATCTGACCAAAATTATTTTATTTCTTGTTTTGATCCTAGTTTACATAACATTAGTGACTGGTGTGAGGAAGTTGACCGTGCAAAATTGTCAAATAATTGGAGTGATCACGAGTGTCTTGTGCGAATATGAAAATGTTTGAAGGGTAATGCTCGTATGTGGTTACGCGAGTGGGTTACGAGTGATCGTATGTGGAGTAATTTCATTTTAATTGGAAGGAAAAGGGGAGATCTCCCGCCGGGCAAGGTGTTCTGCCCGGGGAGCGGCCAACACTCCGTGTGATAGTTTGGAGAAGTTCTATATATACTGTTTATGATTCGGAATGTTGATAGCGCGATTTAGGCTTCGGTGTGTTTTCGCTTGTGGTGCGACGACAGCGCCGCCACATCACCCCCTGCTCAGACCGGAGGTCGATAATGCAGCCTCGTTGTCGATGAATGTGCAAGTGCCAGTGGATTGCCTTGTAGTCTGCGGTGAGTCGAGAAGAAGGCAAGTAATCTGCGAGAGTGCCGTGAAGCAGAGGCGAGCAGTAAGACTCAAAGCCGTGCCGAACACTGTAGCGCAGAGAGTAGCTTGAAGGAACAGGAAGCATTATTATTCCAGTGCTGCGATGAACCTTGTGAAGCTAGATGATTTGCAGGATATGAAGACTGCAGACGATATCTGCTCGGAAGCGAATGGGTGGGGTACTCTATGACGATGATGAAGCTTGAAGTTTCCGAAGGTTGTTGGTTGCGTGTTCAGATCACGTCGGGGTCACCACTGTGGCCGTGGAAGGAAAAGGGGAGATCTCCCGCCGGGCAAGGTGTTCTGCCCGGGGAGCGGCCAACACTCCGTGTGATAGTTTGGAGAAGTTCTATATATACTGTTTATGATTCGGAATGTTGATAGCGCGATTTAGGCTTCGGTGTGTTTTCGCTTGTGGTGCGACGACAGCGCCGCTACAAGGAATTTACACCGTTATGCCCGAAAACGCTAGATATTGCAAACATTTTGTATGAAGTTATGTCGACAAATTCAGATAATTATTCCACGTAAGCTGACTACGCTCGACGCTCACTGCTTCGGCTAAGTGTTGTTCGTGGACTCAGTGACGAACTTATTTCGGCGATTGTGATACGCGGTATCACCGATCCCCACATTAAAGCATCAGCCACTAATGCTAAATTATTGCCTCAGGATTTAGTCGGTTTTCTTTCGATTTATGTGAAACCTTCCACTTCTAGGACTCGTCCTCAATCCACTTTGCATAATAATTCAGGAAAAAGTAATTATTCGAATAATAATAGGAATAATTCAAGTCCGAGTACACAAAATAGAAAACGAAAGTTGGAAGAGGGCAAGTGTTTTTCGTGTGGGCTTCGCGGACATAAACAGGCTTTTTGCAAGAAAATAAAAACAGACTCAAATGAGACCCCTAACCTTAACGGTTCCGGTGTTTCTAAGTCTTCTAGGTCATTTAAATTGGAACCTTGTTCATATTGCAAAAAGCCTGGTCACAAAGTGGATCAATGTTTTACAAAGCAAAAATCTGAGGTACGAAACAAAAACAATATCAATTTTTGTGTTGAAAATAAGGATACACCGAAAAGCGACGTTGTTGTAGCCGTAATTCAGGGTGTTCCGGTGGACGTTTTGATCGATAGTGGGTCGACCAATCTCTTATATCGTCAGCATTATTGAAACATTTTGATTGTGCACATAAGCCTAGTTTTCGCATTTTACGCGGATAGTCAGGAACTTGAGACTACCTCCTACGTAACACTGCCAATAGAGTTTGACGGCTTAACGCTCGAAGTAGATTTGTTCGTGGTGGAGTCCAAGTTCATGAATACGCCTATTATTGTGGGAACTAACGTACTCAATAGGGAAGGTGTTCAATATGTTCGCACCCGAGATTCTCAACTACACACTACGTTAACTAGGAAAGCGACTAATTACGAGAGAGTGATGGCTATTCAGTCTGATAAGTCAATCTCAGTCAACACACCGTTAACTGGTGACCAGCTACAGCGTTTGCTTGATATAATAAAGAAGTTTTCTGAATATTTCATTTCTGGTACTGCAACATCAACTGTCAACGCGGGATGTATGACCATAAAACTGACTAGTGACACTCCCATTAGCTACAGGCCTTATCGGATGTCTCACAATGAGATACATCGGATACGTGAAATAGTTAGTGACCTTGTTTCAAAGGGGATCATACGTGAGTTGGAATCGAATTACGCGAGCCCTATTCTTTTAGTAAAAAAGAAAGATGGATCGGACAGAATGTGCGTGGATTTTCACAAGTTAAATGAAGTGACTGTTAAAGACCGATACCCACTCCCACGTATAGACGACTACATAGATCGATTAGGTCATAACAGGTACTTCACCAGTCTTTATATGGCTACTGGTTTCCACCAGATCCCAGTCAGCGAGGGGTCCATTCCACTCACGGCATTTGTCACGCCGGAGGGGCATTTTGAATATCTAAAAATGCCTTACGGCCTAGCCAATGCTCCGGTTGTGTATCAGCGTATCATATCGAAAACTCTCCGAAAGTTTATTGATTCTGGTGATGTGCTTGTATATATCGACGATGTGCTGATATTGAGTAGAACAATAGACCTGGGTTTTGACCTTTTGCACCAAGTTTTGACAGCCTTGACTGAAGCGGGGTTTTCGGTTAATTTAAAAAAATGTTCTTTTCTAACAGAAGAAATTGAGTACCTAGGCCCTAAAATTAGCCAGGGTCAGGTACGACCGAGCCCTAGCAAAGTCAAAGCCTTGGTCAAGTCCCCAGAACCGAAAATGTGAAACAGGTTCGCCAGTTCTTGGGCTTAGCCAGTTATTTTCGCAGATATATACCAAATTTTGCTCAAAGGTCTGCCTGTATAACAGCTCTAACTAAAAAAGGGTGTTGAATTTAACTGGGGCAAGGAACAACAGACTGCGCGTAATGACCTAATTGAATGCCTAACTGGCGAGCCTGTTCTCGCAGTATATGACCCGTCCTTGCCGACTGAAGTCCATACGGACGCGAGTTCCGTCGGATACGGGGCTATTTTGCTGCAAGTGCACGAGGGTGGCCACAGGCGAGTGGTTGCTTATTTCAGTAGGCTCACACAAGGGGCCGAGAATAGGTATCACTCGTATGAGCTTGAAACCCTTGCAGTTGTAAAAGCATTGCAGCATTTTCGACCTTATCTTGTGGGTGTGCGTTTTACTGTCGTTACGGATTGTAATGCGTTAAGGCTCACACAACGCAAGAGAGACCTGCTGCCAAGGGTGGCTCGTTGGTGTGTTTACCTACAGGACTTCGATTTCGCCTTAGATTACCGTAGAGGCACTCGTATGTCCCACGCCGATTATCTGAGTCAGAACCCTGTCAGTGTGTGTACAGTTCAGACACCTCAGAATTAGGCACAGATTGCTCAGGCTGCCGACGAGGAAACTCGGTGTCTTATACAAAAACTTAACGATGGGCAATTAGATGCCACACGGTATGTGGTCAAGAATGATGTCCTCTATGTGAAATATTCTCCTACTGGAGAACCTTCCCGTTTCCTCTGTTACATTCCTAAAGGACATCGACTCAGCCTTCTTCGTATCTTTCACGATGAACATAATCATTTGGGGGTTGATGAAACGGTCAATTTAATAACCAAGCACTTTTGGTTCTCTGAGCTGCGATATTTCGCACAAAAGTATATTTCACATTGCCTAGTGTGGATTGCTCATAAGAAAATAGCGAAGGCCTCATCCCAGCCTATTAACTCTTGGGAAAAACCAAACCTCCCTTTTGAGACCATTCATATGGATTCCCTGGGTCCCTTGCCTGAAGCAGATGGGTATCGTTATGTCTTGATAGTTATCGATGCATTCTCCAAATTCTGCCTCCTTTACCCTATGTATCGTCAAGACGTTAGCGAACTGAAGAGACATTTCAGCAACCTCATTTCTCTTTTCGGGGCGCCAAAACTAATAGTGGCTGACAGAGGGCGTATGTTCCAAAATGCAGAATTTCTTAACTGGGTTTAAAATATGGGCTGTAATACTCACTTTATAACGCCCGAGATGCACCGATCGAATGGCCAAGTGGAGCGTTATTGCAGAACGGTGTTAAATATGGTCCGTGTTGAAACCAATTGTAGACAAAATTCATGGCCAAGTGTAATGTGGAAAGTTCAATTGGTGTTGAACATCACTAAACACCGAACGCAATACTCTCCTAAACTTACTGATTGGAATTGAGGCAGCCACGCCCCTCATAAGAAGCTTGGTACGCGATATGGCTCTTGAGGGCAGCAATCCTAATAGAGAAACCCTGCGTGAAATGAGTAGGCAGAGAGCATCTGAAAGACTTCAGCGGAACCAGCATGAACAAGATGCTTATGTAAATCGGGGGCGGCAGCCTCCCCGGGCTTTTAAACTAAACAGTTTGGTCTTTGTGAGAAAGCAGGCGCAAGCAGCTGGGAAGTTGGACTCGTGTATGCGTGGCCCCTATCGCGTCGTAAGGACGCTACCACAAGGGCGCTACGAACTTCGAATCCTGACCGGCTCCTACGGGAATTCGACTCAAGCGGCGGCGGAGTACATGATACCTTGGCATGGAGAGTGGACTCCTGACGTATGTGCTGCTTACTTCAGTGGTGAGTGCTTTGGGCCCTTGTTTGTTATGTATGAAGCTTCATATGTGTTATTCTTGTGTGTGGTCGGGACAAGCTTCACGTCGTGCCTCTATCCTGACCTGATATTAAGTTATGCTTCACGTCGTGCCTCTAACTTAATAAATGCTAAGATACCTTCACGACACCTAAAAAATAGCTTTACCTTCATTTATTAATAAAAGCTAAGATAAGCTTCACGTAGTGCCTCTTTATTAGCTGCAATCATCTGCACACTAAATTGTTGGAGATACGCTTCACGTCATGCCTCTTTCTCAGTAATTTAGTGCGCGCTATTTATTTTGGATTTTAGTTGTGAGTCACTTAGACTCAGGTGATATTTGTTTAATGTTTTGTTCAGATTCAGACCACGAAAAATAGGAGTCAACTCTCGCTTTTGCCGTGGTTCTCTCGCCAGCCAGCCAGCATGCCTCCGAGCCACAACCTAGTACATCTGGGGTGCAGCAGCCGAGGAGTGCTGCTGTTGATGCATCAGAGCTTCACGTCGAGCCTGTGACGTCACCGCCTCACGTCTAGCCAGAGACGTCATCACTTCACGTCGAGCCTGAGATGTTGCCGCCCCACGTTCCTATGTCAGCAGGACCAGGACTTTCCATGCCTCTACTGGAATGAATAAAAGGATCAAAGGAGCCCGGGACGGTCTCCTGTCAGGAGAGGCCGTATTGGAGGAGAAGATATGAAGACAAATCTGCCCCTATAAAAGGCAGCGCCACCCAGCAACATGCCTTGCGCCCTCCTTTCTGCCAAGGAGGGTCGCGTTCGTATACGGCTTAGAGATCTCTAGTCAGATCGTTAAGCCATTTCCTAAAAGGCGGTGTTTAGTGGGTAAAAGTCTCCACATAACCACGCAGCCGGCTGCGTGGTATGCTATGAGCATTCACCGCCTCCCTCCCCCGCTTTCCGGAGGGTTGCCCATATTTGCTTCGGGCGCAAAAAAAAAAAAAAGCAACATGCCCATTTGGCCCGCGAGCCGTCGACGCGTACACATCGTGTTGATAGTGATTGATTGCGTGACCGACATTTTTCATTTTATTTTTAAATTTTCATTTAATTATTAGAAAAAAGTCTATGCCGAGTTTTTGTTTTGAAATTATTTGATTACAAGTTTGTTTGTGATAATTGTTTTTTTTTTTTAAATTAAATCGTTATTTCTTTTAAATATATATATATATATATATATATATATATATATATATATATATATATATATTTACTAGCCTGCCAGGTAGACGTTGTTCTGCCCTTTTCGACGACATTTGTCATGTCCTACTAAAAATCCTTGAATTCGCAAAAAAAATTGTGGATCACTGTGGGCAAAAAAAAACTATCCTATCTCTCAAGTTGGATCGAACTGGTATGCTAGCATTTGTTTGCCACAGGTCGTTTCTGAACTCCGTAAAGAGAACTGCAACCTCCGCATCATCCTCCATCACGACAATGCGAGTTCTCACACCGCACACAGAACAAAAGAGTTTTTAGAGCAAGAAAACATAGAATTATTAGACCATCCGCCGTATAGCCCCGACCTAAGCCCTAGTGATTTCTATACTTTCCCTGAAATAAAGAATAAATTGCGTGGACAGAGATTTTCATCACCTGAAGAAGCTGTGGACGCCTACAAGACGGCCATTTTGGAGACCCCAACTTCCGAATGGAATGGTTGCTTCAATGATTGGTTCCATCGTATGGAAAAATGTGTCAAATTTCGCGGAGAATACTTCGAAAAGCAATAAATACATTTTTAAATAGTAATGTTGTGTCACTTCCTTGATTCCTGAAATTTACAGTGTAGTTCTTCCTTCATGGTTTGCAGTTGCTGACAATAGATATCTGCCGTAATCGTTTGGCCAGATTTTAGAAAGCTGCAGTTAACGACACCGGCGCTAGTCCACCAAGTGAATTTTTCTGAAACAATTTTCGTTTAGGGCAGGATATGGCTGGATCTCCAGGGTTCAGCCATTGCTAAGAGCGCTTCTGATTATCGTACAGTACCCATTTTTCATCACAATTAATGATTCAATTTGAAATCTCTTCATTTTTGTGTCGGTTGAGCAAATTAACACAGCAGACGACGCGTGTTTGCAAGTTGTATTCACTCAATTCATGAGGTACACATCGTTCAATTTTTTTACTTTCCCGATTTGCTTCAAGTGGATTATTATTACATATTTTTTATTATTGCAGTTTATCACTTACCCCGAAGCCCGCAGCTACCTCTGAAGTGCTTTGTGATGGGTCAGCTTCCATAATAGACTTTATTCTTTATTTTTCACTTTGGTGTCCGGCCGTCCACGGGGTTGCTTCTGAAGGCCGAAGTTTCCAGAACGAAAACATTTAAACCAAAAACGTACCGTGCTTTCTTTTGCGACACCAGCGCCGAACACGTCATTAATCCTTCGAGCTGTTTCTGCAGCACTGGTGCAACGGTAGAACTCGTCCTCGTAAATATACCGATATTTCATGTTTTCCATTGTGCGGTAATAATCGACGCCAAAGAAAAAAAATAATGAGGAAAAAACAAATGAATGACTGTTTTCAAAACTCAAACGTACCAGCTAAATTAATTTATAAATTTGAATTTGGAATTCTTAACCAAAGAGGACATATTTCAGATTAAAGTGGTCAGTACGACAAAACGCTAAATTCATATGTAAGGACCCAATATAATATACCGTCTATGCTGCTAGCGAGATCAATAAATCACCGTGCGAAGACGGGGCGGATCGCGTGTTTTATCATATTTTACTAGAAGAAAGTGATAAAGCATTTATAAATACCATCTCATTTTTATGCTTATCAAAAGTTCACATATGAACATTAATTTTCTATATATTTCTTAATTTGAGTAGTTATTATGAAGACACTAAGTACTACTAATCTGGAATAATTCCCCCGGTCGCCTTTTACAACACCCACGGGACAATAATTATACCCCATGAATTAGAATTTCTTGCACTGCCACTACATGGTTATGGTTTTCTATCGTGGGTTGAATACACTTTTATGAAATAATAATAGGGGAACTTTTCTCTCTTGAAATCATTTCAAATTAATTTATTGAATCTAGTATCAAGATAAAAAAAGGAATTAAATTAATAGCTTACTGAAAACGCAGCAAAAGAATCCCACTGATACAATCCAGGATCCCTCCTCCTCGGTAATGGGACGGTATAGGGGTGTTTCCGTAGCATTTCTTAGCTTTACAATCATTGGGGACGGCCATCCCATGCTCATACCAGTCGTAAGCACGCTCAGGTTAACTGTAAAAAAGTAGTGCCATGTAAAGTATTTTTTATAATTAGAAGAGACAAACAAACACAGTTCACCTGATGGTAAGTGGATGTTCTGACCCTTAAAAATACCTATCTTCGATTGATAACCAAAATGAAGATGTGTTGTTGCCCTGAAGGTCCTAGATGGAAGGCCTCATTATCGAAATGCAGTAGCATTATGTTGCTATTTCAAGTTTGTATTCCGTGCGAGCGTTGTCCACCGAAATATGCTTCACGTAAATTTAAAAATATGGTAGCGGCATAAGAGAATCTGTCGCCCGCGATAGACCATGGTATAGCAATGTTCTATATATACCAGTATTTTTATTGCCAAAAATGTTTTAGGATTTTTCAGAACTGCAATATAATATCTTAAATAGAATTATAACAATAACATATATAAGAGTTAATGTTTGTTTGTTCGTATTTAATGTGCTGCCATAATGTTTATCAGATTGCGGTAAAACTTTCTCAACATATTGCTTGTGCTTGCGCGAAGGTATAAGGCTTAGTACAAATAACTTAGAGTAGGTGGCGCGCGTATCATATCAACTATTTTTTAAAGATAAGTATATATAATTCAACCTCAATGAATGTATTATCATTCCTAATTAAATAATATAACTCCTCCAAATTTAAAACGATATTTACACAATTATATCTTCTGCGGCTGCATCGCGCCGGGTAACAGTTACCTAGTACATATCAAAAAAAAAAACTTATACAAAAAGTAAAAGTCGTAAAAAACTAAAAAGAATAAAGTAAAGAACTAAAAAGAATAAAACAATTTTACATTATGAAGTAGGTACTGAGATATAGTGCATAGAAGAATTAAAGCCGCGACTTCAGATTGGGAAATTATTTTATTGGTTCTTTTTTAAACCGGCTTTAATTTTTTCTAAATTTTTGTACGATATATTTATTCTAATGTAGAATTTTTTTAGCCTTTTCAGTGGACTAAGGATACATTTTTAATATTGTCTATATAGTTATATTAAAAGCTCTTCTCCTATTTTGTCACACTTAGGGGTGAATTTTTATTTCCGAATTTCAATATTAATATTTTCTTTATTGTCAGCAAGCGCAAGCTCGTAATATTCACCGACGTACACGACATACGTGACATGTTTGAATTACTGTGGAGCAATGACGATATAGTGAAAATAATACCGTTCTTTTGTTACGACCCCTTACGTACCCTTACGACACGATATACGATATTTTAGTAACAAATGAATAAATATTTAAACTATCGCGGAAAATCTCGACACTTTACCATGTTCTAATTAAAGGGTATGTTATTTAAAAACCATTGCTAATGCTATCTTTTTCTAAAAGTATTATACTCATTTCTCCATTTAATAATAATAAAAAATACGTGTGGCACTCGGTGACTGCCGCGGTAAAGCTATTGCATAGCATTTTTTATCAACTTATTCAATTATAATATTTATTTATTTATTTTATTTATGCAGTTAAGTCTTTGATATTAAATCAAGTTACACTTTTTGAGCGTGGTGACCGATAAGAAAACAACTTTTTTTCTCTTATTGAATAAATGAGAAGTTAATATTGTTTAAAATATTTTTTTTACCATCAGGTGGATTGCCTACTCATTTGTAACTTAGGTACCTACTTAAATAAAAATAAATGAACATTTTACTCTTGTCTTTTTCTTTTACTTAGAAATGGAAACATTCCTTTTTTTGTTTTAAAAACTATATGAAATATTTTAAATACTCGCGGGATTACCTATTTAAATATAATAAAAACATTCTCCATGTATCTTACACAAGGTCACCTCATGTTAGGTCGTATTTTTTTCTTTACCATACCTAAATTGTTTGTAGATAATTTAAGAGACTCTGTAGATTAAATACAATAAAATAAAAAAGGCATACACGTATTGTATAATCTGTAATTAAATACACGTCTCAGTTACGTTTATTATCAATCTGTGACTAAAATATAAGTAAATATACGTTTTTTTTAAATTCTTTTTCTACTCCTTTGACTAACTTTATATGTGCATTTGTCCAAGTAAAAGTTTATAGAGCATAATATACCTATTCAACGTCACATTCAAGTCTAAGCCCTAAGATTCTGCAGGAAAATAGGCTTAACACTGAGCCACCCGGACATCAAAACTACTATTAGACAGATGGAGAGAGAGAAAATTAGAATACAAATTAACTGCTGTAAATTGTTCAGCCGATAAATTTTTTGCTAACTGATAACTATGTCGACTATAACGTCTTTCTTATAGAATAAGAGTGATAAGAGAGCACACAGTCCACCTGATGGTAAGTGGATGCTGTGGCCCATAGACATTTATTACATTTAAATAAAATCATAATGCACATGCCTTGTCATCGATGAGAACTAGGATGTAATGCCCCGTTTTCAGTATATAAGATTTCCGGTACTCTACACTCACCATACGAAACACAGCAGCATCAAGCTGGTATTTCGTGCGTGGCCCTACCCCAGTCGAGTCGACCCATTCGTGCTACAATCATAACATAGCTGCAGCGTGGCTTTACCATGTGTAATGATACCATGGAGAATGACTTCGCCGCTATATGCCGCCGCGTAGTCCTTTCTGAGAAATTGAGAGATTATTATTTTTATTGTTTCAAACTTAAAAAAAAACACAATAATCACCAAAACGTGTCGGGTGGGTTTTGGAATTCAGAACAGCAATGAACGCAAATAAAATTGCATTCACTACATTAGCGTGTATGTATTACAAAATCGATAACTGAGTGAATATAAAAAAAAAACTTGTAAATCACACAATAGAATATTAAAATTTCTATAACACAAAGGGAATATGTGCTACATTAAAGAATATAAAGGGATATAAAGGGAAAGGGGAATATAAAAGGGGAATACGAAGGGAATAAAACGGGAATATGGAGGGAAAGGGGAATATAAGGGGAATATAAAGGGAATATAAAGAACATAAAAATTATACAATAAATGAAGCTAATTTTACGGATTTTATCACGTTTAATTTCAACTTTTTTATTATAGTTGTTTGGGGTAGTTGTGGAAACCGTTTCATCGTTTTCAGTTTCATAGTATGGAGTATCTTTGTTTTCTTCGAACTCTTTTTAATACATATAAAATAAAGAATATAATTCTTTGTGATACGTTAATTATTAAGCTCGATTACGGGTATAAGGTGACTGCTTCAGTACTACGAGTATATTTTTGAAGTCTGTCTAACATTAAAAAAGTTTGTACTTATTGCACCATGATTTACTTGGTAGAGCCACGCTGCAGCTATATAATGGTTGAAGCACGAATAGGTCGGATCGATGTAGAAAAGAAATCGCTCTCACAGAATATCTGTGTGTAATTTGAAGCTCGATAATATTTGTTTTATATGGTATAGATAACCGGAGACACTTTTTATTGAAAACGAGGCTTTCCATGCCTGTAAGCCAAGCCATGCGCACTTTTGATCGTACAATACCTACCGTACGTCCGCCAAGCAGTGATCTAATTTGATCAGAATTATGTAAACATGTGTACCTATGAAAAAACTATTTTTTCGTTTTAAACAAAACCAAAGACACTATGCAATAGATAATAGTATCAAAGACAAAGATATGCTCTTTTATTTTAAACCATAACCTGGCAATGTTTCTTAGAAAAAAAAAAAGAAATCACTCTGAACTTTCGGCGTTCCACGTGCCGTTTTGATGAAGGTGCTCCGTCTTTTTTATAGAATTTTATATTTGTGTCTGGACTAAAAACGAAAGTATTATACTTTTTTATATTCCTTTTAATATAGTGAACACATATATATATAATTTGTGGTATAAAAAGTGAAAAGTAAATTGCCAAAAGTGCTTCAAAATCTGGAAGGCCCATTATGGCGGCTGGGTCATAAATGTGGTATTTTTCAAATTCTCATTTATTTTTAGTGTAAAATGTAGGTAAAAATAGTTTTCTTACATATTTCAAATAACTTGACGTTGTATTTATTTCAAATTCACACAAAACTATTTTAGAAATATTGTTCTAAATGTCACACAGATAAAATATTATTATTTTATTTTTTTTAATTTCTTTATATTTTAATATTTTGGTATGAGTAACGAATGGAAACACATAAAACATAAAAATATACATATTTCCAAACATTTGCATATAAATTTCTCTAAAAACAAAAGTGTAGAATTCAAATTAGTAGTAATTTTGTCACTAAAATTGAAGTATATACCACTATACAGCTATACAGGGTAATTTACGTATTTTATTACAATTTCTAGCAACCAAAAATAATTTTATTCGATAGTTTATACATTCAACAAGAATTCCTGTAAGTTTTATCCATAAATATTGTCTCAAAGTGAAAATATAGCAAAATTTGCAATATAGCAAAAAATTTGCTAATTTGCTAATTTTCAAATTTTCCCGCCATTACGGTCCCGAGCGAACGGGAGTATAACATGTCGCGCGCTGTCTTCTCAGTGGTGATAACGCGTCTGCATTTTGATTCTTAATTGAGAATCGATGTAGATATCTATGGGCCATTAACCATTAACTGGACTACGTGCTCGTTTGTCAACCTTATTTTATTAAAAATTACAAATTGTGCTCATATACACACGTACGAAGTGAAACTTCTTTACGACTTATAAATCTCCCTTTATTTTATATTTTATAAAATTAGGTTAAATAGTGCTGTACTAATGCTGTCCCAGCGGTGAAACATTAGATGACTACGTGATTTTTATATAGTTATTTTTCTATCGATACCGTATTAAATTTCTCCACTGCATCGATAAAGAAGTTCTACTTCAAAACTAGATATTGCTGTTTTTTTTTTTTTTTTTATAGAAGAGGGGGCAAACGAGCATGTGGCTCACCTGATGTTAAGTGACTACCGCCGCCCATGATCAACCGCAACACCAGGGGAATTGCAGGTGCGTTGCCGGCCCTTTAGAAAGGAGTAAGCTCTTTTCTTGAAGGTCCCCAGGTCGTATCGGTCCGGAAAAATCACCGGTGGTAAATTATTCCACAGAGAGGTTGTACGCGGAAGAAAACTCCTTTTGAAACGTACAGTGGTGGACCGCCAAGCATCTAGATGGTGTGGATGGTATCGGGACGTTTGCCGTGTAGTGCGTTCACGAAATTTGGCGGCTGGGATTAATCCGAACAATTCCTCAGAGCACTCCCCGTGATAGATGCGATAAAATACGCAAAGAGATGCAACATCTCTTCGCAGCGCCAGTGAGTCGAGCCGATCGGAAAGCACTCACTGTTGCTCACGAAGATCAAATCATGTAATGGGATGTCGTAGGATAAATTAAAATAAACACCTCTTATTAATGTTGGCGATGAAACGTTACAATATTGCATTATTGGTGGCATTACTTCATATGGTAAAGCCATGCTGCAGGCTGCAGCTATATTAGTAGTATAGTTGTACCACGAATGGTTCGGCTCGCCCGATAAAGAACTACGCTCTCTCAGAATAGCAGCGTAAAACTGTGTTTCCATAGATTACTGTATTTATACTAGAGATGTGTTTCGTATGGTGTTTGTAGAGAACCCTTCTTACCGGAAAGTAGGCATTCCATATTACTCATCACGGGTGACAACGCATTTGCATTTTGATTCGTAATCGATATTAGATGCGGATTATCTGTTATTTATCGATATAAATGTTTTGCTTAGCAACCACTTAGCATCAAGTGGATTCTGTACTCGTTTTTAACCATTATTTTGTAAAAAAGACAATTAAATACCGGTTTTTTTTTGTACCAGTATGCAAATAAAAGTATTATTATTTTTATATTTTTAGGTTAGTTTACGACGGGCTGTTTTCTGTAATTCGACGTCTAAGCGCGAAGTTTGCGTGTGGGTAAGAATAATGTGATTATTCAAGACAAGAAATCTCTCCGAAGAATCTCAGCAGTCCCTTGATGTTGCAAACAACTTCGGGGAGCGATCCCGGCGTGCCGAGATGTTTAGCCCTGTATGAAGCGACTTCCGGAAATGTCAGTAACACATGGGCTGTCGTTTCTTCCTCCCCCAGGCATGCCCTGCACAGGGTGCTATCTGTAACACCTTAGGGAAAATCAACGTTTGTTAAAGGAGCCATGTCCTGTGATAGCACTTGTTACTATCCTGATCTGTGGCTTGTTCAGTCTCTTTAGAACCTTGGTTAGATGACTGTTTATTACAGGCACGGCCTCTCCCTAGCTTGTCTACTAGATTTTTTCAAAGCTGAACGCGAAGATTATTGAAGTTTCTACGTACCAGTGAACGAAAGTAACCAAAGGAGATTGGTATTATTGGTTCCGGCCCTATAGTGGCCAGAGCCGATCCTCTTCTGGCCAGTTCATCTGCTGCATCATTGCTCTTGGTGCCTCTGGATGCACTGTGCCCCTTAATCCATTGCAGAGTCACATTGTTGTACTTGATGGCATTCATATATTAGCCCCGAGTTTACCATATCTCTTCCCGAGTTTACTATACTCAGAGCTTGTAGTACCGCCATACTGTCGGTCAGTATTCTGATGGAGAAGTCTTTTACCTTCCGAGCATCTATTGCTATGGCCGCTTGGATGATACCCATACATTCCGCCTAAAAGACTATGTTGTGGGTACCCAGCGGTGTACATATGTGGATATTAAGGTCTGTAAGGAAAGTTCCAGAACCTACACCTTCATATCTGGTAACACTGGAGCTTTTTTATAGTGGTGGCTTCACTAGTTTTGGTCCACCATACCAGAGAGCCGTATGTGATCATGGACCGAATGAAAGTTTTGTACAGCCACAGTATAATTTTGGGCTTTAAACCCCATCGTTTGCCAATCGAGTTTCCGCATATTTTAAGGTTATACACATAATAAGTAAAACGTAGTCAAATTAATATATAGTACCCGGTTGACCGAGCTTTGCTCGGTATTTTTCGCTCGGTTTTTTTTTTTTGTAATTCGTGCGTTTTGGAAATTATATTTAGATACAAATTACATACTGATGAAATACGAATAATATTTTTGATCGTAGCGACATAATAGAAAAAACTGAACTAGTTAATTGAATAAAAAATCATGAGTGCAATTAGTTTAATTTAAATTTTCGTGTTTTTAAAAAATACTAAAAAAAGGGCACGAAAACATAGATTTTCTCAAAAAAGAAAGGAATTTGAAAAAAAAAATTAAAAAAAGCCGGTCGGTCGATCTGGGCTCAAACCATGGTATTACGATTTTGTGACCCCCCAATATACAAATTAAGCTATTTATAATCATTAATAAGCTGTCAAAATTTACCTTCTTATTCTAACGATATTGTAGCAGTTTTTCATTGCCTAAAAACACGGACAAAAAGAAATTTTCTATAAATAATCCCAGCTAGATCGATTTATTGCCCCCGAAACTCCCTGCACACAAAATTTTATGAAAATCGTTGGAGCCGTTCGAAAGAATTGCTCGTTTAAAGGTATAGGATTATCCAAAAAGCAATTATAAAGATAATTAATTAATTATATAATTGTGTTTTTTTGCGACTTATTAAAGATACTAATCTTGTCCATGGCCAGCCAGCAAATTTCATTAAAATAAAACAAAAAATAAGCTAACAACTCAAGTTTTTATTTTGTTTTAATTACAGTTGATAATTACGTATAAAATGAAACTCAATTATTTAAAATATTCACACATAAAAAAGAATAAAGTAAATAATTAATGAAGCTTTATTAAATGGTTGGACTTCTTTTCTACTTCTATCTAGTAAATAAAGTAAGGATCAAATTGTCTGTAATATGAAAATAACTGGCTTTTATTGACCTTAGGCGGTTGCATCACAAGCAAGCTTAATAAAATTCAGTTAAACTTAAAAATTAAAATAAACCAAAATTAAAATAAAACAAGTACTTAAACCTGTCATTAAGACATGAAAAACTATTTGTGAAATTTTTGTCTGTCCAGTCTCAGAACAGTTAAACCTTTGCCATATTAATAGACCTGCCAACCTAGGCAAAGCTGAGGTGGGTTTATAGTAGATAATAAAATATTTAGATTAAATATTTTGCAGCCTCCTTCAATTTTGTTATGGAATCGCAGTGAAAAGAAAATCGCTTCTTTGATTGAAGCTATTGTTCAGATGTAGACTAGACATGGATTGTAACGATGATGATGATTGATTATTATTATATTATATTGTTAAACCTATACTTACCAAATAAAATAACGACATACTGTCTTAATCTCGGTGATATCAATACCGAAAACATCACAAATAACTTGGAATTTAAAGTAAATCAAAATTACAAAAATACGGTTATTTGGTTATGTTCTGTTTTAAAGATTTTTTAATATTAAATTTTAATGTATTGTAGCACTCAAATAGTTTAAAACCTTTTTAAACGATCCGTGCAAGACAATGCATGCTGCAGACTGGATAATAATAACACAGGTACCTTATATATCACAACTGTTTACAATTAGGTCGGAGCTTATTATTGTTATCAGATTAGACAATTATATTAGGCGCTTAGAATTTAAGATAAGTATTATCTTAATATAGTTTATATGAATAGGTGTTATTTTATTTAATACAACAAAAAAATATAAATTCTTTACTGATAGTCTGAACGCCAATGTATGCATTTGGTTCAGTGTGTTTCTCGTTTGGCCGTTTGGCACACCGATCTATCGGCACGATTGGATTTTTAACGTATCGCTAAATTTCAAAAATAGGGAAGTTATTGGTTTCACACCGATTGTGCGCGCGTGCGCGCGTGTGTCCGTGTGCGCGTGCGTGCGCGTGCGTGTGTGCGCGTGCGTGCGTCCGTGCGTGCGTGCGTGCGTGGGAAGTTCCAGGGATGGCCTGCAGACTCAACCAATTTTTTCCGTTCGTAATGGGTGAATCTTGAGAGGCTCAATTTACGTTGTCAGGAGAAAAAAAAGTAACCGTAGTATTAAAATTAAAAATCTAAATATTTTTTATGCTATAATATAAAGTATGATCTAACTGAGGTACGATATTTTTTGTGTCTAATTTGGTATAATAATATAGTAAAAAAATCCGAAAGGTCTAAAATCTAAATATTGATACTCCTGGCGCAACCGCTTCACATTTCGCAAAAAACTTACCACCAAAGCACTTACTTATGAACGGAAATAAAATAAACAATGCAGTCTAATCGCTACCAGGTTTGTTGTTGGTATATAAATAAAATATACCGTATATGTATTTATGACAGTTTTATTAAGAATTATAATATAAAGTTTGTCCGAGACTAAACAGTGATTCCCGTAGCGCGTCACTAAACTACGTGCATCCCTAGTGGAATGTTCTATAGGAGTGGATCCGTTTCGTCGTATGAGCGCTAAAGCGGGCTACATACGACACGATATCGGTAGCGATCTAGGGTGGAAAGAAATCGGGGCTTTTATCGGGGTAGACCTGCCTAGCAGTACGCGTTCGGACTTGGAGCGGAATGCATATGCGGTAGAGTTCTTCAAAATACCTCCGACTCTCTTAAAACACCACCGTGTTGGTTTGGCATTAGCCATCTCGGTTAATTTATTCGAAAATAGAAAAAGAGAAGTTGCTGGGTGAAAAAATGGCTCCAAAAGAGATAAAAATTAAGCCACATAAACGTACTAAATGGCCTGTAATCCAAGGACGTGATTAATTTTCTCCGGATGGATGAAGACAGTTTTTATAACCTTCTAGAAATGATTTCGCCACTTATATAAAAACGTCAATTTCTCCTACCTATGCTATTTAGTTATTTCTTCTCTTTGTTCATTTCTGCTTTGGTCAAAATCTGGTTATGTATTACACACAACAAACAAGGAAATAAAATACTTTTGTATAATAATATGTATACTTTTTTTTTTAATGTAATCTTTATTTATGGAGTAAAACTATCAGAAAATAAAATAGCTTATATCTTTTTTTTAAACATAAAGAAACCTTTAATTTCGGACATACTCCCTTTTATATAACTTGTTTGTTGATGTGGAGATGGTGAAGGAGTAGAAGTTAGTTGTTGATAAGAGGATGAAGGCACGTAAGAGATCGAAGTGTGGTCTTGTGGAGTTGTAAGAGATATGAGTGCGGTCTTGTGTTGATAGCGTTGGAATAGGAGTTAGTTGTTGAGGAGAGGCTTTATCTTCTTCTTACTTACATCATACACTCTACTTTACGAACAGCAATAAAAAAATTAGTTTAGTAGGCATTCTTGACCATGTCACTTCGCAGGGTCACAGGCTAGGGTGGATATGATTTGAATTTCGATAAAATTTCAATTAATTTATTTATTTTATTCACTTTTTTTTTGGTTTTTTGTAAAATATCAGTGCCATAGGCTTCTACTCCGTTTATATGATTAAAGTGTAAAAATTTTGTTATATAAAAAAAGGTCATTCAGTATCACTGTTTTGTTAACTTCCTTCCGCGAGGGTTGCCGGCAGCGACTGCCAAAAGAAATCGGGCCGATGCGCCTACACACGCGCAGTAAGGAGGGGGCGGTGCCCCCGGCTGATCTAGGAAGCATTTTTGCTCCTGCCAGCCGATTAAGGAGGCGATATCGGCCACGACTTAGGATGGCCCTACATACGACACGATTTAGAGGCAATCTAAGAGGCATCCCCACTACTCCAACCTAGATCGCCACCGATATCGTGTCGTATGTAGCCCGCTTAATAGTAACGCTTCGAACGTCGTTGTGGAGGGTTGCGCCGCTCGTTGTTCCAGTACGAAATTACGAAGGTAAATATTTGATTCCCTTGGCTTTGATTAGCTAGGTCGTTGTTGACGCTGATCACGTTTATAAATGTAATATGAGTTTTAAGGATTTGTTGTCGGGTGTTAATGGAACAGCTTTAATGATCGTTATTTATTTATTTCATTTTTATTATTTAAAACGTATTCTTTTTATCAGAATCGATAAAAACATCCTACTTTTTGATTCCATTGGCATTGATTCCCTTGGTATTTGCGCCAGGGTAATCAAAATTCCTGATGAAAAATCGAAATATTCCTAATTTTCAATGAAAACAAGAAAATTAGCGTATTATTTCTTACACATATATTTATTTTTTATCCGTTTTATCGATTAAAAATTATTTATTATTATTAATTCGCGCGACTTGCTTGCGTGTTATTTGAAAACGACAAATTTTATCAATATGAACAATTTATTTGAATATCTTAATGTCCTTGTTCGTCTCGCAAACAAAGCCCAAACCAACTACTAACAAATTTTAGAGATCAGCTATGTTAAGTTTTTAAATCACTTATAAACATATTTCAGATTTGAGCAATGCCTACAAAACAATCAAGGCAAAAAAGGTTAGAGAAGAAACAACTTGCTGAGCGTCGCAGACTACAAAAAATTAAGAATGATCCTGAACTTAAAGCACAATTGCAAGAAAAATAAAGGCAAAAATATGTGAAGAAAAAAACATCTGGGAAGATTATATCATTAGGTGAAATGAGTCCACGGCAGCAAAAACTTGCAAGAAAGAAAAGTAGGGAAAGTTCAAATCGTTACAACCAGAAGAAGAAACTTATATAAATCAGCATCTTGAAGAAATAGTCAATTATTCAGATAAGGAAGATTCAGAAATAAATAGCGATAACAACGAAGATCCTCTAAGTCTGATTCCACCTCACTCGTCTAATTCTTTTGCTATTGAATCATCGCCACCTCCAAGTCCCGATAGTGATAACCACCAAGTTGAATCACAAGATCTACAAGAAGAAAAAATCTCGATCAGACTTCTGTACATCAACTTGGTTTGGAATTAGAACCAACTTCATTCAGTGACACCGACACATCTTCATCTTGAAGTCCCATTAGTGACATAGCTACCGAATCAATACCAAATTCGATCCTTAAGCAAAAAATAAAATCAAGCTTGTCACAAAAAGTCTATTAAGAAACATCGCCCTGGAAATAACTTTTAAGAAAAATGAAATATAGGACAGATAAGGAATTGCTAACAAAAGATAGAAAAATTCAAGAATTGAAACTAATAAATGAGAAGTACAGAAAACAGATAAATAGATTAAAAAATAGTAAGTCTGAAAGAAAAGCAGTTGAAATGTCTATAACCCAAAATAGTCAAAATAAAAAAGAAAAAATTGACTCTCGAAAACGATTTATTGAAACATCAAAAACTAAAATGAAAACAGCAATAGAAAAGTTTTTCGAAGATGATGAAAATAGTAGACTTTGCCCCGGAAAGACAGAATATGTAACACGGCATAAAATTAGAAAACAAAAACGATACCTAAATTTCAACTTGCATCAGTTACATCAAAAGTTCCTCAAACAGCATTCCGAGTATAAAATTAGTTATAGCTTTTTTTGCACCTTGCGACCATTTTAGACAGTAATTACAAACGTCAACGCCCGAGAGACGTGCCTCTGTATTGCTCACGAGAATATGAACCTAGCTGTTATGGCTCTTAAAAGACACGGGATAATAGTAGAAAAATCAACGTATAATGTTCTTAAATTCCTGTGTTGTGATATGTTTCGAAGAATGTAATATGTTTGAGTAGAAACTGTGACTGCTGTAAAAATAGGAATTTAAATTACCAGTAATTTGATAATTCCAAGGGAAGCCACTACTGGTTTTGGACAAAGTCTAAAAAGAAATATATCAAGAATGTTCAAGAAAAGGTTATCATGCAATCATTGAAGCAAAAAGTATTAGCATATCTTAAAAATTTAATAGACCATTTTGAAAAATTATTAGAGCCATATATGTGCCATTACGCAAATATTGTTGCTCAGAATAAATACATCAAGAATTTGAAGTCAAATCTGAAATCAGGAGAATTCATAGTACATTGTGATTTCAGCGAATATTACAATACGAAATACTCTTCTGAGATACAGTCTTTTCATTTTGGGAGTTCAAGACAACAAGTGACCCTATACACTTCTGTCATTTATTATATAAAAATGTAGAGATTAGTACCAAATCATTTTGCACCCTGAGCGAGTGCTTACGACACGACGCTGTGGCAATTTGGGAGCACTTGATTCCTATCCTGAACTTCATTGAGAAGGAGGTTTCCGAAGAGAAGTTTTTAAATTTTATATCTGATTCCCCATCTTCACACATTCTTTAGGTGATGGCCAAACTTCATTGGAACTATCCAAATTTACGTCACGTGGTTTGGAATTACTCCGAAAAAGGGCATGGAAAGGGAGCCTTAATCAGCCATCTTAAAATTAGATGTCTGGGTGTTTCCATAGAGGAAGTTGTAGAATCAGGCATTTTAGAAAAGGAATTATTGATCCCTTCAGATCTAAAAGAATTTCGTGCTACCATGGCAGTGCACCAAGCTATATGGAGCTGCAATAATCCTGAAGTATTAGCCATGAGGCGTCTTAGTTGTGATATGGGAATATGCTCTGAAGAATCAGTGCAATGTTCACATGGACAAAATATTGGCTTCTATAACATTGGGAATACAGCTTTAAGCAACAATACTTACCCATCAAAAACTAGGAAAAATAATGCTATAGCTGAGTGCAGTAGAACATCTTTTGGAATTTCCATTTCTAAACCAGACCATGGACTGGATGAAATTTCAGTCGAAAACCGCCGTGACATTAATATACCATCTGATGACAGCTTCTGGACTGATGTTCCTTCAATGAATGAAAATTTAACATCTACCACCATGACCAAAATCGTATTAACAGCCCTCCATTGTGAAGATGATGATTCCAGCTCAGATTACAACATTTTTTAGATTAAGTATTACCCTGATATCGATAATAGCTTTGATTAATAATCTGAGTGTCCTTGATTTTAAAAACAAAATATGTTACCGAAAATATAGATCGTTGATTTTTTAAAATTCCTGCTAATATTGTTGAATTTAAAATAGGAATAGTTTCAGTGTTTTAATTACATTTTCCTATTAATTGCTAAGTGGTTAAGGTAAAAGTGCCAATTTCTACAACTAAAAGATTGACTAGTACTATATAGATGTATATACCTACTGTAAAATTATAATAGAACTTGAATTTCTTATATATCCTGTTTTAATTTTGATTCCCTTGTCGTGTTTTATTGATTCCCCTAACCAAAAAAAATTTAAAATGCTATATTTTAGGAACCATCCGGCCAAAAGTGATGCCTGTTCGTTAAACGTGTGTATAATTAAGTTAAATTCTATGTTACATTGTTACTTGCAAAAAATCTGTTTAAATAAATTTCGCCAAAGGAATCAACTGAATATGCCATTTCTCAGGATTCACCCTAATACTAATTTAACGAATTCTTAGACATTCAGACGAAAATAAAAAAAATTAAAACGATTTTATGTTAGTAAAACCAAAACAATAAAAAAATTTTAAAGGATTAAATCAGTCAATGTAACTGTTTTCTTTTTTAATCTTCCACCATCTTTTAAATGAATTGTACCTATTTAAAAATACAAAAAAGGGTTTGCTTTATTTTCAATTTTCATGATAAGACTAACATGAGTTAGTTTGTTCAGCAACGTTTTATTTATTACTAGAGACTCACTCCAACTTTGCCTGCCTATTAATATGGCGTTACTTAGACTTACGATAATTATCAAGCACCATTTATTTGACCAATGTTTTGATTCATAAAAACGATATCTAATTTATTTGGATAAAATATAGCCTAGGTCACTTACTCCTGGTATTGGCTGCAATCGTTTCAGCCATGAACCCGGGAATAAAAACAGGTAGATTATATGCATAGAATTTTTTTCAGTTATGGCTCATGTCACCTGTGTTTCCCCAAAACTTGTTTATAATTTATTTATGTAACTTACGATATCAACAAAAACTCTGTTGGTCAAACGAGAAAAGAAATTCTCAAAGGACCGATTGATAAGTCGAATCGGACGAAGAGCTTCAACCTAGTTCAGGATTATGTTTTACTCAGAGTATCTAAGATAGGCGGCAAGCTTATGTCCATCAGTGAAATTTTAATGGACTGCAATGTTGATGATGTTGGCATGTGAGCTGTTTACATAATATATCTTCTCCTATTCCTGCATTTTTTTTCCTCTTTCTCCTCTTATCATGATATAAAAACCGAGGAAACTTTGAAAAACATTAAATCTAACATCAAAGATAGGAACACTGTTATCATACCCAGAAAAAAACACGTCATGTGCAATGCTGCACTTGCACAATTAGTTTACTTTATCCGTGCCATCAGCGTTTATAATGCATAGATTAATTCATAACTCCTGATACAGTACAGCTAAGTATTTATGAACAGAGGAGAGGTCATTTCACTGTCCTAAAATGATGCGGTCCGGATATTTTTGTGTGATTTTATACCTTAATATCTATTACCGTGATTCTCTTAGAATTTTTTTCAATAATACATTTTGTAAAGAAGTCCCGAATTTCTTTTTCGGTATGTTTTTATTTCATTCCTCATTTCAATTCCTGCCCATCAAAAAACCCCATTTAAACTTCGGCAGTATCCGCACTGCTGCTAGTACGTTTCTAGGGCAGGCGAAAAAACGTACATTGACCTCAAGTATTATCAACAAAACAAAACGACAGATATTGCTTCCATACAATTCTTTATAAATTACGTTAAGTTATGTGCTAAACGTGTCTCATGGTACGGGGTAGGGTGAAGCAAGCGGTCCTTCAGAGATAACAAACCTGAAACCTATTTCGCCACAATTTGCGTTTTGAGAAAGCGGGTCGAGCGCATCGAACTATATTACTAGCGTATAGAATATGCACCCCGAACCAAAAGTTTGCTTCATTTTGGTAAGAGCTATAACTAAAGTTCGCTATAACGCTAGAACAAGTTACGTCGTCTAACTAAACTATTAAAACATGCAGCGCTAGTTTTTTATATAGGATAGTCCACCTGATGGTAAGTGGATGCTGTGGCTCATAGACATCTACCCTCGATTACGAAATAAAATGCAGATGAGTTGTCACCCGTAAGGACTAAGATGGATTGCCTTGTTTCCAGTAAAAAGGGTCTCCGGTTCTCGACACTCACCATACGAAACACAGCAGCATTGATACTATTTTACGCTGGTATTCTGTAAGAACATGGTCCTTCCCCGGTCGAGCCGACCTATTCGAACTACAACTATATTTCTAATACAACTGCGGCATGATTCTACCTCGTATAAAAGTTTGCATTAGGGATTAGTTTTTTCGCGACCAAAACGTCATAAGCGCCAGGAATTTTATGGCGCTTACGCGTATCTTTCAACGTAGTGTACAACAAGTCGCTCCCATAGATTTTATATTTTGCCTGATTCTCGTGAGCATTGTAACAACGCGAAATACTTTAAATCAAAGAGTTTTAAAAGTTTTAATGTCTACTTACCGATGAAATGTTAAACCATTACTTTTATTTGATGTTCTGGAGTGTTTACTGCAGTCTTTAAGAACACAATCAGGTATTTTGAAGTTGTTATTTATGCGAAGCGAACACGACTCGTCTGTGCGATCGTTGGACACTCACTAAACAGTTGCGGTACAGTGTACCGCAAAGCCTGGCGCAAAATCATGCAAGGCGTTGTCTTCTCTATACCTAGTAGTAATACCGCGAAGACCTCACCATTCTGCTTTGCAATGCGCTTACGTGTAGACAATTTGAGATTTAAATTTTTGGTTATAATAGTACTTAGTTGTTTTAATTTTTATTTACTATTGTAATTAATGTGAAAGTTTGTTTAAATCTGCAGATGCTATTTTCTCTTATGGTGGCACAATAAACATTACTTGTAAAAAAACACTATTCAGTCCCTACTTCGGGACCGGCAAGGACACTTTCTTTTGTCTTAAGTTATTACCGTAATTAGCTAACCTAACAATATCTTATTGTGACCACGTCAATATTAAAAATCTATTATGTTTTAAATAAATAGATTGCCTTGGCAATCGCACTAAACATTCTAATATAATATGTATTAGGGGCGTCCATAAATTACGTGAGATGTTTAAGAGGGGGAGGGGGTTGAGTCAAATCTCATCTAATCTTATGTTGGAGAGTTACGTTACGTTACGTTTTCTGATTGAAATAAAAAAATATACTATTTTGGTCCATTTAATCCAGATTGTACATTGAAATAATACTAGTTTTTACGGAATTTATCGCGTATATTTTAACTCTGGTGTTATTATTCTATGGGGTTACCTGCCTCCAGCATTTTTACATTTGCCTACTTTGTGTTTCCATTTAGTTTTATGATTGTAAATATACTTTTTATATAAACAAATAAAATAGGTACTTTGTGAATTGAATAGGAAGTATTCAATAAAAATGCGTGTCGTTTTTGATTGGTAGATTTAATTAAAAAACCATGTTTATGTTTGAATAACAAATCGGTTAAATAAATTTGCGACTGAAAAATATTTGCACCTCGGCTGAGACTTACGAAATGCTTTATTATTAGATTTTTAAATATAAAAATCCGCTTTCTAATATAAAGCTAAAAATAATATAAATTAAAAATTGTTTTGGGAGACATGAACAACGTGGAGAAAAGGAATATCTTTTAATTGGTTATAGATACCTGCAGCTACTTTACAATTTATATGTTTGTTTTTAAATGAAGTTCAGATTTATTATTTCTTTATTTCTATTATATTATTTATTTCCTCCATTTTTTTATATATTTCACAAAATCATGACTACGGCACAGTCTCGACTGTCTGCATGCCGAGCGCATGCCGAGATCGAAGCGCGTAGGCATAGCTCTCGCTTCGTCCGTTTGTATGAAGTTGGAGTACTGTATAGATAATATTACCGTGCCCCACAGATTTTAGGAGGTAATCTGTGCCGTGCCCCTACCACGCGCCAACTACTACACAAACAGATCAGTAAAAGCAATAGATACGCAGTCACGCATACACTCGCATTTAATAAATCATAACGTCTACTACACAATTAATTATAAACCATATCTCTAAAATTACAACGTCCATTTACCATTCACCGTACTACTTACTCAACAAAAATATCGGGCACTATCGTTGCCTGTAAAAAGCCATTTATTTTACTTATACGTTAGTGATTGACTAAATTGGAAAGTTATCGATTGTTTCATTTAAACCAAAATTGTACTAAAAGTTTTGGGCCCTAAATATAAAATAAATAAAAACAGTAAAAAATCCGGTTATGTTGAATTAGGCTATCATAGCGGATTGAAGTAGTAGGTATTTTGGAACCATGCTATGGTGCTTACTCACTGACCTTTAAAGGGAAGGTAATTGTGCAGCACTTGACGTTTTTATATTTCTGGGGTGGCATTTTTGTCAAATAGTGTAATCTTAAATTAATGTATTTTTCCATGACTGCTTTTATAAGAAATATAATGTGATTATTCATCGGGGACTGCTCAAATTGGTGAAACTTAACATTAAAAAAAATTAAATTTGACAAAGCCTTTACCATGAGTTCCTGTTTGACATTTTTAGTTTTAATTGCTTATTTATCATTAGCGAGAATCTGTTTTTATGATAATTTTAATACAAATTACGACGATCAGTACTAGTTTTTGTAGGGAACGAAATCAGGTGGCCTTTCAGTGGCATCAATCCATTCATTTTTTAAATTAACATCATTTGGCAAGCCGAAAGCTACGATTAATAACCTATTTATTATTTTCATATATCCTAAGCTACTTTTTAACCTCACCATGTACTAAGCAGGTTTTGCTTGGCGATCTTTTATTATAAAAAACTCCTGGTTAGTGATAATATTGTTAAATATATGAAAACA